AAATTATTCACACTACCATTTGCGCTATTTACGAAACTTCTTACTTCACTTTTTTGAAAAATGAAATGATCTTTCCTTTTACTCCCGATCAACAATCAAATACCTTTTCTTGAATTATGAATAACACGAATGGATTGAAATATTTAATTAAATTATCTCAAAATAAACCTTCATATCGGTGCAATATTGAAATTAGCTTGAATTCTTCATAACCTCTGAATAGTGGTTGACCCAATGGGTCACGGTGGTCTAATATATTCTGTATTTTATCTCTTGAACAAAGTTCATGTACAGTGTATGTGTACTACTAAGTTACTGTCACTGTAGTCAGTACAATTGGGTGTAATAAAACGAGCCTATCTCACTGTATGTACTGCATCCAATAGATGAGTAATATATTTAAATGAAAATAGAGCAATGTCCTGACACTACACTTTTTGTTACAATGAATAATGTACTAGATGCTTTGTCTGTTTTTTGTCCTGCTGAGAAGTTAGTTTTAATCAGATATTTATTTGAGTACAAATAAATGCATTACAGATATCTCTAGAAGTTTAACTATCTTTCTTATTTTTTTATCTCGTTAATCTTTTTAACTTTTTTTTTTCTTGCTGCAGACCTATTGAAAAATATAGATGGCATTTATCATTAGGTTCAAAAAATTAAACTTATAAAAGTTATTACTTGATTTTGGCTACTGTGTGTTAAGGTTGAAATTATATGTGTGTATTGATAAATCAATCATTATAAAATCTGTGGTGTTTTTTCTTAGCTGTAAAATGTTCACACAGGCAAAAACAACCTGTTTATCAAGAACATTTGTTAGTTTGTTTAGCAGACTTTGTGCTCAAAGTAAACTTTAAAAAATTTCACAGCTCTCAGTTTACAGCATTTACCTTTTTTTATGTTTCTGAGTGGAAAGGTTAAATATTTGGCTGGTGTTTTAGTAATAGTTAGCTATAGAAATATGTGACAAAACCTCAGTTAAGAATGTGGTTTCAACATATATATATGTGACATATTATCTTATTGTATCTGAATGAAAGTGCAAACTTTGAATTTTAAAAGTAATATAATTTCTATTAAGTTATATTTCGGAAGACAATGTGTTTTGAATTCAAATAATTAATATGGACAAGTTCACCAGTCATATATCATTGTTTATCTTACTTTTAAAAAGTAAGAACTGCTTTATGGAGAAACTGCATAATAGCAATACATTATCTGAACATGTAGTATACAAACTATTTTACCTGTGTGTGTGTGTTGTGCAAATATCACACAAAAGGTAAGAGTTCAGTGTTAGTGTCATGTTTGTTTCTAATGTAAAACATTTCAACAGCTTCATATAGTTCTTAGTTATTCCATAGGTGTTTAACTTTGGAAAACATTACATACTTGCAAGTTTTGTAGCCCATAAAACAGTTTTCATTTTGAACATGTCTTGACCTTACTTTTTTGATTTTCATCTATGGGTCATCAAGACATGTTATGATGTTTTTAGTGTCTAGAAACTCAAACAAAAACAAACAACAACAAAAATAACATACTTATATGTAATAACCTTGACTTTACACATGTATATCTAGATCTTTCACTGTGCAAACTGTTCATACTGTCATTTCTGAACATGTATGACTCTTCTTTAGTCCAAAAAATAATAATAGAATCTTAGTGCATTTTGTAATTTACTGTAATAGCAAAAGTCTGGAATATGTTTTTAGCATTGCCCATTAACAAGCCAAATATACATTTAGTCTGTGTAGGACTGCACAGTTTCTACATTGAATTTGGGAGAAAACATTTTCATAATGTACAAATTCTTTTTAAGGCTTCACCCAGTATTTTTCATTACTAGTTTTTTTGGTTCCAACTGGCATCTATCTTTACAGTGTCAGAAATGTGATCACTTTCCACTGTGATCTGCTTACACTATAAGAGACAGCTAGGGTTGTGTTACCATTTCTCTTATTCCCCCCCCCCCCCCCCCCCAGGGGAAAAGGTTGTTATTAGACCACAAGAGAATTTTACATGACATGCAAGTTTCATTTAACTTTTAAAGATTTTTTTTTTTTTTTGGAAGGGAGGGAATATGATATTGTAAGTTAAATTTTTGTAGAAATATATATTTTTCTGTTAAATTATTTCAATTTAAGATAGTTTCATTAGAGTAGATGAAGTAGCTGTGCAGGTTTTTAAAATGTAACTTTTTCTACAATCAGTCTGTACCAGTCAAGGCCAAAAGATAAAACATAACTAATAGTTGTTTTATTGTTTGTTTTTGTTTTTTAGTTAGCTAGACAATACATGTTCCTGCTGTAATTACATTTATGTTTTTATATGTACACATACATAAAGTTAAAAAGATTTATAATACATATAAACAAATGTACACAAAAATATACATGTGAATAAGCTAAAAGTGTAAATTTGTTGTAATAATAACACTACTTGCATTCATAGGCTGCATATTTTGTTTTATCCCCCTTTCATGCTCCAAGTTGAACAAAAAACACTACCTAGCTAACTAATGAATGAATACTTGCTGTAAAATTCTTATCAATGCTATAAGTGTAACATAGGTTTGGTTGTATAATTATATAGATAAAATCAATATTGAGACCCTTGCATAACTGGAATTCCACATTACTGTAGTGTTTTTTCTCTTGTTGCTTATTTGGTACCTTTTTTATTGCTATACATGTCTTAGTGTTCACAGTTAAATTTATATGAAATTCAGTGTGTTGTTTATTGTTAATTTGTATAAATGTTTAATGATTTTTTGAATTTTTTTTTTCTGTGTGGACTTCAAGTAGAAAGATTTTTATAGAACCATGAACTACTCAACAATTAGAAGGTTCAAGATTGGAATATTGAAATAACTCATTTTTGTATTGTGTGTGTGTTCTCATCTTTTTTTAGTAGGTGTAAGTTCTAACAAAGTTAAATGACTGTGCAACAAGTCTTAACACCCACACCAGGAGTGTTAGCTCTAACTTTCTAAAGCAGCTGATTATATAGTATGGTTAGCTAAATCTGTGTTGGATTCTTCAATTAATCACTGTAGAGGAACAAGGCTATAGGAGCTGATTTGTGTACAATGTGTTTTCATAATTTTTTTCTTTGATTCCAGCTGTCTTTGAGATTTGCTCATCTCTTTAAGTGAACTTTTAAAAAGTTAACATTTCACTACTTGTGAATACTTTATACTTGAATTACACTCATTTTTAAAGTTACATTTTATAGAAAATGCTTAGAATAAAGATTTTACAATTTAGATAAATACTATAATATTGAAGCTAAATAACTATTTGTAGGCATTGATTGTTTAAATTAAAATTATATATATAGGAATGCAAAAACGTAACTGTTTAACCATTTCTTTAACTGCTAAAGTTATAGAAAAATATTATGAAGATGATTTTTAAATGTGCACTACTATGCACTAATGTTTGATTTCCTTATCCTTACCAAATATACTTAGTTTACAAACATGTATTTGTACTTAGAATTAACATACTAAGCTTATGATGGTCCTGATGAATAAGCTAAAAGTGCAAATTTGGTGTAATAATAACACTACTTACATTCATAAGCTGAATATTTGCTGTAAAATTCTTATCAATGCTATAAGTGTAGCCACCAGTTTGGTTTTCAATTTTGATTTCATTCATTTAAGTTGCATGCTCAATCATTTTTGGCTGCACCTTTTTTTTCACACCTGAGGTGTTTTTGATCAGATCAGTATAACTGGCTGAAGTTTCCTCAACCTCATCTTGTGAACAATGAAAAAACACCTTCTTCCCAGGCATTTTTTTATGGCATTTCAAAGATTGATACTTTCCCAATATATCATAGTATTAACTCTGTTGACTAGTATTTTAAACTAAACATTAGTAACTACCTTGATACATATATATACTTACTACCACCAATAAGTCAAGACTTAGAGTATTTAATTTTGCTTTTAGATCTGTTTGTTAAAATGTTATTCATAAGAACACATAGAAAGCTTGGATACAGTTCAGAATGTCATTTTTTTGCATGTAGGTGCAAACTTTTGATGGCATTGACTTCATATAAAACTATATAATGCAAACCACACATTTATTGTTGGTAATGCAGTATGTATAAGTTGATTGTAGTTCATATAAAATAATATTATACAGTTGGAAAAGTATGCTGGATAATTAGTGAAGCAAATAAACATATCTAGAAACTGTTTTGTTTTTCAACTAGAAAGAAGTGTAAATTACCATTATGAACTGTTTTGTTTCCTAGCATAAGCAACATTCTTAATATATGGTTTATGTTGACATAAGTAGAATTTTAATGTTCAATAACAATAGTCTATAGTTTCTTTCTTTAGTATGTTGGTAAATTGTTTGATTTTTTTTTTAATATTGTGAAATTTTTTTATTTTTTTTAATAGAAAAAAATATTGAAATGTACACTGATGCATCCATGCCTGAAACCATGGTAAAAAGTGCATTCTAGAAGTTTATAAGTAAAGCTGTATATCAACATTTCACCTCTGAAAAGTGGATGTTTTTTCCATGAATTGTGGAATATCACGTGCTTTGTTTATTGCTTGATCAGTAATCCAAATTCCTATACTTTATAACAGAAGGAATGTTGACAGCCAGCTAGGGACAAAATAACCTGCACTATCTTTTAGTGAAATAATTTGCTGTTTATGCTGTTACAATTTATTATGCCTGTTTTATTCTAATAAATTTAAATCTCTTGTAGCTGACAGTACTCTTGTTCAATAGAATACAATAATTATTGTTCTAATAAATTTAAATCTCTTGTAGCTGACAGTACTCTTGTTCAATAGAATACAATAATTATTGTTCTAATAAATTTAAATCTCTTGTAGCTGACAGTACTCTTGTTCAATAGAATACAATAATTTTGTACTTTTTTTATAGTAAATTCTTCATTTAAAAATATTGGTTTGTTTTTGATGTGTTATGTGTTGTTTGAATTTTTTCTAGTTCTCCAGGTCTGAAAGCTGTCACTGTCATGAGTCGTACCAACCTAAAACAGCAGTTGATGCGAGAACAAATGCAACAACTAGAGCAAAAAGAAGCATTAGCCCAACAGAAGACAGAACCACCATCTTCTCTTTCTACAGCTGCAATCAAAGTACCAGTTTCCACTACTGCAGTAGGGCTCTCTCTCCCCCCTCAGGTGCTGCAGGTACGTTTGATAAGACATGACCAACTCAGTACTAAAATGCCTATATACATATCTCTACTTGTTCACGAGTGTTAAAGTCAACATGTACTTTCCATAGAGAAAACATACTGTGCGTGAATTTCACCATGGGAAGAAAATAAAACGTTGTAGATTAATATTAACTTTGACTTCACAAACTTAGTTGTATATTATGGAAGGTTCCAGTGTAACACACATTTACTTATGCAGAATAAACAAACATGCTTCATTGGTTTTAAATGAATATTTGGGTTTATAAATTATTCTCATATTTGCTTTCTTAAATTCTAATATAATTTTATATTGTATCATCTACTTGTATTAGCAGGGTAGAAGGTTAATCTAGAAATTATGAGATCAATTTTACCTCTATTATGTTGTGCTGTCTTTCTCAATTCCTTCAGCTAAGTTTAGTGCATACTTCCAAAACATTTAACAATACTAATAAATTTGTAATTCATCATGTGGTTTGTGAAATATTTTTGGAATTACAGTTACTTTTGCAGTCTTCCATTCTTTAAAAATTTGGACATACAGCTAGAAACATTGTGTTGATGCAAATTTTTTTCTTCGAAGAGGGAAAAGGTTTTATAGCACTATTTCTATTACTTAATAGTAGGTGTTGGTCTTCACATGTGAAACAACTCTTCTCAGCTCGCTTGTTTCTTCTTTTCATTGTAACCATAGGAAAAAACAGGTTGTTTTGTTGAAACCACTTTCGAAGTCATTCTTCACCATTAGATGACTGAGATAATGTGTATTTAATTGGCAGGTTGATATTCTTAATTAATATTCTTTCAGAAGTGTGATGGCAAAACTTTACATTAACCTTTCTTATTTTCAGGTAGCAATTTTGTGTGGGCAGTTTCACATGTGATTGAATAAATAAATAAATAAATATATATATATATATATATATATGAAATGCACTTGTCTCGCAAGCTTTGCTCTTGTTATATAATTTTTTGCTTAGACTAAAAAAAAGCTCATAATATAAATTCACTTTGAGCATGAATTAGACACCAAATTGTCTGATTTGAGATACTTTCTTTTTGTATGTATGTCGGGGATTAAAATATTACATTCCCAAAAAATTTAACTTTGCTTGAGGAATTTCATCTTTTTGTTTTGTTGGCTCTCCTGATGTCCCTCCATATTTCTTTAGTTTTGACCAATGGAAGTGAACATATTGCATGGATTAAATAAATAAAAAAACTATTCATGAGGGATAGCAACCTTCCTGATAGCTTTCCTATGAATGAATGTAATTTTATTTCAGTATTTATATCCCTGTATGTATGTATGTATGTATGTATGTGTGTGTGTATGTGTGTTAGAGAGAGAGAGAGAAAGATAAATATATGATGTGTCTTAGTGCAATTTTCCCATATCAAGAGGCTCGGACTTTATGGATATCAACTTACATTGCCCATAAAGAGTGGCATAATAATGTTAAAAATTTTTAATGGTTATATATTCTTTTGAGTTAAACTTTATACCTCTTCTACGTGTATTTTGGTATTGTGTGTGTAAAGTTGAGGATAACGTAAGTAATGATTATAGTTATATTCAGAATTGTATACTCCTGGTTTTGTGCCAATATTCCTTGTCTGATGTACTGGTAGGATGTTGAGATGAATTAGTTGTAAGCTGTAGATACTTTGATACCTTCCCACTACTGCGTTTTATTAATTTTATTAAATGAAGTCTTCTGAAATATTATTAAGTGAATTGACAAATTATATTAACAGTAAATGCATTTCAAGATCATCATTACTGTTGTACAATGTATTTGATATTTTGGGTTCAGTAACTTCAATGAAAGTATTAAAGAAAATATAAAGAAAAACATAATCTCATCTTTAACTTTGTCAGGAATTTCATTAACTGAATTTTTTTTAACACATCAGAAACAAGTTATTTAGTATTTAATCTACAATCTTCATCAAAAACATACCAGTTTATCTAATTATAAATAAGAATTATAACTAGAATGTCCTAGAAAAACTATGCATTTATAACAAAGGTAGTTTCCTTTAATTAGATTGTATTGTCCAATTACTTTCAGTTGGTTGTTAAGAAGCTAGTTGGAAGACTGTGCTTTATTTATTTACTAGCATATAACTTGTCAAAAATGATGGGAGTACAACCACCCCCCACCCTATAGTATACCCTAACCTCACATTTCATAGCTAACTGAAATAAATGCATTTTGCAAAATCAAGCTTGACCAACAAAGAGGCAGAAAAGTGCAGTCGAGGTAATAAAACATCGGTAACTTCCTTTGTGAGCCAATCAAAATTAAGATCATTCATAAAATGAATTAATAGAATAATTATTGGTAAAAATCAATTAGATTATCAACTTCTAATACATATAGAAAAGGCAGTGCATTTTGGTAAAGCTATGTTCCAACAATGACTTTTATGTCATGTTGCTTAGCAACAAAAGTATAATCTAATATTGTTGTTAGTCTATGTACTGAAGGTATAAAATGAAAAATATTTGTTGATTTCTTAACATAGTCTACAGTGGTTAAAGAGGTTTGTTTTTTTATTAAAAATGTTGGTGATATAACAGAAAATACCTTAATTCAGAAATGATTGAAGTTTAGAATTGAACCAATATTTTTATTTCCATGGTAAATTTTATGCACTTGGCTCTAGGCTAGGTGATCCCACACTACGACTTTACTTTAAGCTTATTATACCAACACTCGCTACACTTGTATGGTTTCATGCCCCCCGCCCCTCACAGCCACTTTGCACCCCCATCACTAAAATCGTAATGGGCAGACAGTAATTGAAATATTATATCTGGATAAATGCATTTTGATTTTTATGACTCCTTCTATTTGAAGAGATCAAGCATGACATGACACACATTGGCTTTTATATAGGTTAGGCTTTTAAACTAAACATTACTTAAAAGTATCTTATAAAGGTACTGTTGAACTTAGCTTGTTTAAATAAAGTACTGTTAGTTTATTATTTAATGAATACAGTGTTCTGTGTGTTCACAGAATCTTTAATGGCAGCCATTAAAAGAGGTTCTCTTCATTTGCAAAGTTCCCTGAAGCTGAAAAAAAACCCGTTATAATCCGAGAATTACAGATACTATGGATCTTGTTGGGTTTCAAAGCACTTTTTTTTTAACTATTTATGCACCAACTTGCTTATAGTTTCATGAATTTGTTTGTTACATGGTCCCTAATAACATGAATCACAGACATCAATTAATGTATGCCAAACATACCTCATGAATTTGTAATTAAACTAATCTCTACAGGGGTCCCCTACAGTATGTGTTATGTGTGTTATATTAAAAACGTGTTTTTTTGACCAAATTATTTTGATCAGTTAATTACACTGAATTTTGTAATAGGGTAAAACATAAAATTACTTAATATGATGCAATATATGGATCCTAGTGGTATTGAATGGCATAAAAGCATGTTGGTGATGTAGGGTTAATTAAATAAATATTATAGGAAGTAACTAACAATGTTCAGAAAAATGTGGGTATTTTTGTGTAAATTACTGAAATATTTGTTAAACTTGTAGATAAGTGCTTAAGTGAACCCAGAACAGTTGACTCTAAATGCAGTTATTACACAGTAAAAAAACAGATGTACAAGTAATTCTACATGAAAATATACTAATTTTTGTTCTTTCACTCCATGGCTGTACTCTGCTTATTTCTACATAAATCTATTTTGATATATTTATCATTAAAAGTTAAATCATACGTATCAGTATAAATTCTGTGTTAGAATTATTTTGAGTTTAATTTCTCCCTTAACAGTTAAGAAAATTGAGTATTTTAATTTCATATATTGTGATTACATTTAGTGCTTTGTTAACCTTTAGGTTCAGACTCGTCTAGAAAACCCCACCAAATATCATGTTATACAGAGTCAGAGAAGGCAAGTGCGACAGTATATCAGCAGTGCTCATGGCAGTACTCGTCCCCAAATCCACACATTATCACCTGCACTCAATGTTGAAAGCTGTGATACAAGTCCAAACAGCCCAACATCCGCTCCACTGAGTAACTCAACAGCCACTAGTGCCTCAGAGGTGAGATTTATTAGTTCTGTCAAAAATATCACAAAAAATTGCATATTTGTAAATGGAGGATTAGTTAAAGTAGTATTTAAACAACCAAGCTGAACATTTAAAATTAATTTGTAATTGGATTGTACTTGATAATTCTTTGATCAAAGAGTTGCATTAGGAATATTTATATATCAACATTTAACTGCATTTAATTGGATCAAAACTTGTTAATTAATTTTTTTGTTTGAGAATATTTCCCACCAATAATTCACCTTCAGTAAAATAGCTGCACTATCACTAAAGTTAAAGAGTGTCCAAGTTATTTGTGTGTTTATCATCCACAAAAAATATGAAAACCTAAATTGTGAGGGAGAGAAATAAAGACAACCCATCCTCTTGTAAAATCATATGAGGATGTGCACAGGAAAATATACAACTTGTGTAGTATTAATAAATAACAAAAAAAATTAGTTTAAATGTTATTACAAAATTTTAATATAACAGCTTTTTCATATGATAAATATCTTTGGTTCATGAGTGAATACTTGAATTTTTAAGATTATTAATATAATTAACACATTAAGACTTAACATACGTTGATCATAAAACTACTTGAAAGTAACAAAAAATGGAACTAGTCCTTCACATATGACTTGAATTACGACTTCTGTGCTTCAATTGTTATCACGTACTCATGCTTAAATTCTAAGGTGAAGAAATATACTGAATCCCAGGTAACAGATGATTGGGGGGGAGAGAAGATAACTTAGCATTATTGATGATACTATTTGGGATACAGTTGAGAGAAAGTAATGTAGTTGATTACATTAGTCAAGTATCAGTTTGAAATTCAGCCAAGGCTAGCTTAAAATGAATTATACTATTTCTGCCTTCAGACAAAGAAAAGAAGAAAAAAACAACAAAAACTCCAAAACAGGTTCCAGATCTTAGATTTGACAGTAATTAAGTGCTAATTATACTTGTATAACTGCATTTTTAACATATCTTGTCGCAGGGAGTCGAGAACAAACCTGCATATCTAGTTTATATCTTTTTAATGATCTTACAAAAAAGTATCAATAATATCTTGTATCTTTAGAAAGAGAAACATAAGTTGGGATAATTAAATCATAATACATGGAAGGAGGTATTCAATATTTCTTGAGAGAGAAAGAGAAAACAACTAATTACAAGTTCACACAATAGTAGCTACTGAAATAAAACACTTTTAACTAGCTTTTGAAAATGTATTGTCAATTTTCTTCCATTCATGTTACCTTTTCTTGGAAAACTTGCCAAGAATATGTCTAAAAGTATGCCACATCAATATTATTTTGAACTGGGCATATATATAGCATATGATAAGTAACTAATTAGAAACAACAAATACTTCATTTTGATTAGTTATAGTAAGTAGGCTTTGAGGATATTTCTGTGGTAAGCACAGTCTTTGGAATTTTGAACACATGGAACCTCATTTCAATTTCAGATGAACATTATGTTATTTCAAAATTTTGACAAATTTTGATATCAAATAGCTTAGATGCTTTTAACTTCCATAATGGGATATCCGACAATAGCAGTAGAAAAATGCTGACTAAAACATATTTGCTTGAGATGCAGCTTATTGCCTGAAAGAGACTAACATTGTAATTGCTCTTTTAAGAACTAGTACAGTAACATTGTATATATATATACACACACACACACACACACACACACACACACACACACACACACACACACACACACACACACACACACACACACACACACACACA